AAAAAAAAAAAAAAAAAAAAAGAAAATAGCTCAATCAACCATGGCCTGAGATGTCACGTTAAGGATGCTGGTCTGCTTTTTCTCATAAGACCAATGGGAGGCTTTAAGTATAATAAATAACATGGTAGATGCTGGAACAAATGGTAGCTTGTCACTAATCTACTTGACCAGATGGCATATAATAGAAACCTTTTATGGCTCTGTTAAAAAACACCTCCAAAGTCTCCTCTGCCCCTCAGTGAAGTAAAAACTTTTTGCAGTCACATAAAATGATTCTTTGCTTAAAACTTCCAGTAAGGCCAGGCGTGGTGGCTCACGCCTGTAATCCCAGCACTCTGGACCATGAAGCCAAGCGTTTGAGACCAGCCTGGCCAACATAGCGAAACCCCGTCTCTACTAAAACACAAAAAATTAGCCAGGCCTGGTGGAGGGTGCCTTTAATCCCAGCTACTCGGGAGGCTAAAGCAGGAGAATCACTTGAACCCAAGAAGCGGAGGTTGCGGTGAGCCAACAGCCCCCCCATTGCACTCCAGCCTGGGCAACAGAAGTGAAACTGAAACTGCGTCTCAAAAAAAAAAAAAAAACTTCCAGTGACTTCCCACTTCTCTTAGAATAAAATCCAAAATTCATAGCATGGCTACTAGGCCTGTCCTGTCCCTCTCCCTTCCTCCTCTGATCTCATTTCCTGTGACTTAGCCCCATCTCCCCTTGCTGCAGCCACAGTGACTGTTCCCTGGGCACACCAAGTACACTCCAGCCTCAGGGCCTTAGCACTTGCTGTCCCTACCAAGAACACTTTTACCCCAGGGACCCGTACGACTCTCTTCCTTCAGATGTCAGCTCAGGTGCCACCTTATCAGTGGGGCCTTCTCTGAGCCTGCTATCTAAAAAGACTGCCCACCCATCGGCCCCACTCCGTCATCTCTCATATTCTACCTTACTTTTCTTCGTAGTACTCCCTGACGTTATATAGCTAATTGCTTATGATATCTCATCTCAACCAAACGATCGACTCCGTAAGAGCAGAGATGTATCTGTTTTTTTCTCTGCTTGCATCCCTTCCACTAGAGCAGCGTAGTATGTGCTCAAAAAAGCATTATTTGAATGAATAAATTAATGAATGAATGCTTCCTATTTTGAATATGAATATAACGATTTTTCCTTTTTTTGAGACAGGGTCTCACTCTGTTGCCCAGGCTGGAGTACGTGGTGTGACTGTGGCTCACTGCACCTCTACCTCCAGGCTCAGGGAATCCTCCCACCTCAGCCTCCTCCTGAGTGGCTGGGATCACAGACACGTGCCACCAGGCCTGGCTAATTTTGTACTTTTTGTAGTGATGGGTTTTTCCCAAGTTGCCCAAGCTGGTTTCGAACTCCTGAGCTCAAACAATCTGCCCACCTCGGTCTTCCAAAGTGCTGGGATTACAGGCCTGCTCCACTGCTCCCGGCCCTAAAGATATTCTTCTAGTGCTATTCTCTGAGCTCCAAGGACTAAAGAAATGGCACATATCCACAAAACATTTTGTGAATTAGGAATATTTTAATAGTATAATTGGAAAATACAATTTACAATACACTGATAATGCTAAGAAATTCCTCACAGGAAGTGACCAAGATGCTCAGAAACAGAAAGTGTTAGGGCATTTTCATATTCAGTACTTAACAGTACCTCCACACCAATTGTGAAAATCCTGAAATACTTCCGTACTCTAGTTGGTAAAGAACTACATAGGCTGTTCGTGGTGGCTCACACCTGTAATCCTAGTACTCTAGGAGGCCCAGGTGGGTGGACCACCTGAGGTCAGGAGTTCACAACCAGCCTGGCCAACATGGTGAAACCCCGTCTATACTAAAAATACAAAAAATTAGCTGAGCGTGGTAGTGGGTGCCTGTAATCCCAGCTACTCAGGACGCTGAGGCAGGAGAGTTGCTTGAAGCCAAGAGGTGGAGGTTGCAGTGAGCCTCCATTGCACTCCAGCCTGGGCAACAAAAGTAAAATGCTGTCTAAAAAGAAAAAAATTAAATAATAATATTAATTAATAAAACAGTTCAATATTAATTTTGTTGGTAGTAGCAATTCATGGATGAAGGGGAAGACTTTAAAGATGGGGCTATTGAAAGCTACAGGAAAACAAACGAACAGATAAAAGTATTTTGCCATAGCAGCTTGCTCCAGTGAAAGCAATCCTTCCTGTTCCTAACAACAGTGTAAATGTCCCACCTGTATAAACGAGACGTCATTTTTTCCAACAGGAATAAAAAGCTTACTAAATTACCGCCGAGGCTGTCCATGCCAGTTGCTGCTCGTGCGGTGCTTGTAAAGATTTGTGTTTTTATCTGTGACTCACCTTCTCTTTGCACAACATTGTTGGCTTCCCTTTCTAGAACTCCCAGAATGAAAGAAGCTACTTAGAATTATTCTGATGTCAGTCCCTCAACAACAGTTGATAACCAGAAAGAAAAAAGAAACCTTATCTTTCCCATAATGTGACCTTTTTCTTGTTCCATCCACTTCACCACATTTAATAAAAGTGAGTTTGGGTTTATATTTGTCCATTAATGTAGCAACTAATCAAATGAGTCACACAAGATAAACACTGGCCAGTTCTGGGAAGAGAGACCTCATTTTGTAAGCTTATATGAGCAAATGATGCTGGAAGTCTTGCGAGACATTCTGATTGAACTCCATAAAAAACAAAGGTTCTTTTAAGTTCATATTTCACAATAGAATTTGTATTATTACAGTCACATTTTAAATGTATGCCATTTACAATTACCTGAGAAATAATAATAATACAATGTCAAAATGTGCTTTGAAAAAATCTGGAAGAAAATATGCCAATTGTTAATAATGCTTCTCTTTCAGGGAAAGATAAAAGCAGACTTTCTCTTCCAATGTTATTTATTACATATGTTATTTTTAATCTATGGGGAAAAACTGTAAAGATTGTAAAGTTAAAAAAAAATGGAGACATTAAAAGATGTTGGTTAACAAAGGACAAATTGCTCCCTTCTAATATCCAAATGTCTTTGAAGTTTGCATATCAGTAACAAAAATATCATTCCACAGGTTCTTAATTTAGTCTAAAGTTGATTTTTTTTTTTTTTTGATGGAGTCTTCCTCTGTCCACCCAGGCTGGTCTCAAACTCCTGACCTCAGGTGATCCACCCACCTCAGTCTCCCAAAGTGCTGGGATTATAGGCATGTGCCACCGCACCCAGCTCCAAGTGAATTTTTAAAGCTATTTTGAGGCCAAGTGCAAATATATATATATATAGAAATATACTGATAAAAATATTTCAAACATATATATATCCAGGCGCATAAAGATCCACATAACCGGGCGTGGTGGCTCACGCACATAATCCTAGCACTTTGAGATTCTGAGGCAGGTGGATCATCTGAGTTCAGGAGTTCAAGACCGGCCTGGCCAGCCTGGCCAACATGGTGAAACCCTATCTCTACTAAAAATACAAAAATTAGTCGGGCACGGTGGTGGGTGCCTGTAATCCCAGCTACTCAGGAGGCTGAGGCCGGAGAATCGCTTGAACCCAGGAGGCAGAGGTTGCAGTGAGCCGAGATTGTGCCACTGCACTCCAGCCTGTGAAACAAGAACAATACTCAGTCTCCAAAAAAAAAAAAAGATCCACTTAAATATTCAGAAAGTTGTATTAATGAAAATTGAGTAAAGAGATGCTTAGATTAAAAAACAATCTCTACCCAAAGGTTGAATCATATATCAAACACATGCCTGACTAGAGAAAATATTGATGTCTGTGTACCTTTTCATTTTAAACAATATTTACACAGTCCAGTGTTTCTCTGAACAAGCCTTGAGGCAGCCCATACATGAAAACCCCCATCACTATGGCAACTAAAAATGGCAATGATTACACAGTGATTCATCATGTATCCTGAATAAAAATTGTTTGTCAGGGACAGAGAAACAACTCACAGTCATGCTTCACTAAAAAGAACCCAATTAAAGAATAACCTGGAGTGGTGGTGGTTTTTATTGTTTATCAAATTTTTACAATTTTTTTTTTTTTTTTTTTGA